TCCACACTTGGGGTTGGGTATGACTTGCTGATGACGGCTAATAAGCCAGAAATGGTCATTCCGGTCTCCCTTGTCTTTGTCGGTATCATCTCATCTATATATATATATATATATAGAAGAAGGAGATAAGGCGTTCTCTGGGGAGGAAGATTTAATCGTCTGAAGTTTCATACTCGTACTCGAGCACATCATCGGAGACAGGCCAAATGAGAAATATATGGTTTAAATAGGCCATTCGTGCCCGCGCCTGATAGGTCGATCTCGCTCTCCTCTTATTGGTTTTCCTCTCGCGCGCAAGTGGTGCTTGATGGCCTGGTATGGAGCTGGTAGATCAATACTGCGATTAATCGAGTTGGCGTCTGATTGCCAGGCTTCGATTACTTCTCTCGCCAGCTTGCTTTCGGCTCGTCCGAGCACTTGGGCACCGTCAAAGTCGAACACGTGATTATTTTCTAGACAGTGCATGGCGACGTGCGAGCGTACATCCTTTCGCTTTACGGCTAAGGAGTGCTCATGCACGCGCGTGCGCAGACGTTTGTCCGTCATGCCGCAGTAGTTGGCCAGACAGTCGAGACATTTGACGCGGTAAATGACGCCTGACGTGTCTGCAGGTGGTAGCCGGCCCTTGGGTTGCATGAGTAAGCGGCGGATGGTGGCCTCCGGTCGGTGTCCAACGCCCACGCTTAGTGGCCTTAGCATGCGCTCAGTGGCTTCGGAGACGTTTCTCACATAAGGCAGAACGCGGAAGGTTGCAGGCCTTTGCGTGTTCTCACGGTCGGCCCTCGTATGTCTTTGATATAAGCATTTGTTTACGAAACTGCGCGGATATCCATTGGCAAGGAAAAGGTGCCATAGGGTTTCACGCTCCCGCAGCTTTTCGGTCTCTGTGCTGCAGTGTGTGTTGATGCGACGAAAAAGCGTCCGGACGCAGCTGCGTTTATGAGACGGGGGATGGTTACTGTTGTAGTGGAGAATTTTCTCCGTGTTTGTCGCTTTTCGAAAGACACCAGTCTGAAGCGTTCCGTCTTCTTGCCTCGTTACCTGAACGTCGAGGATAGGAAGCACTCCGTCTTTTTCTTCCTCCATGGTAAATTGAATTTGTGGGAAGACCGAGTTCAGTTGCCTTTTAAAGTTGTCTTTCGCGTCCCGGTGTAAGATGACAAAGGTGTCGTCCACGTAGCGCATCCAGAACTTCGGCTTGTAGGACTGAAAGACTCGAGCTTCCAGTTCCTGCATGACCGCCTCAGCCAGATAGCCGGAAATCGGAGACCCCATTGGGGTTCCCTGGATTTGCTCGTAAATTTCACCATAAAAAGTGAAGTACGTGCGTAGGCAGTAGTCCAATAGTTCCATCACGTGCTTCCGCTTAAACGGTTTCCCCTCTTCGTCGTACTTTCTCTCCAGTAGGTCATTTATGACTTTCATGGCCAATTCTTTTGGGGTAGAGGTGAATAGGGAGACGACGTCAAAGGATACCATTACCTCGTCGGGGGCTATTACAACCCCTTTGAGTTTTTCCAGGAAGTGTGTTGAAGATACGGCTGTGTGTTCTGAGCCGTCTGTCAGCCTCTTTAAATGCTTTGCGAGCCATTTAGCCAGTCCGTAGGTAGGCGTGCCTTTCAGCGCCACAATAAGTCGTAGGGGAACATTCGGCTTGTGGATTTTCGGCAGACCATAGAAACGCGCTAGGGCAGCGTCTTCCGGTTTCATCTGTCTCCAATCTTTCTCGGATATTGCCTTTTGATTCCTCATTTTGTTCAGGCTCTTGTTGATTTTGCCTACCAGTGTTTTCATGGGGTCGGCGTCAACGACTTTGTATGACTGGTCGTTGTTCAGTAGCTCTTGGGCTTTCGTCACGTACTCCGACTTGTTCAGGACCACGGTTGCCCGTCCTCTGTCTGCTGGAACAATGACAATTTCGTCGTCATTCTTTAATTTCCTTATGGCCTTGAGCTCTGCCGAGGTGATGGTTCGGCGTGGCCTATGGGATATGATGAGGGATGCGACCCGTTGGCGAATCGCGTTCTTAGAGTCTTCTGCGGCATCCGTTTTAGAGAGGGCCACTTCTAGTGCAGCGATAAAATCTACTGGCTGTGCGTCTCCTGTGTTGTAGCCGGATTCATGTTGAAGCACTTTAATTTGGTCCTCTGTCAGCTGTTTAGATGACAGGTTGTGGACGGCTGACGGTTCGGGCACAGGTGCTTGTGCTTGTTCTAGGTTACGTGTTTTGTTGAGGAATTGGGTCTTCTTATATATATATATATATATATATATATATATATATATATATATATATATATATATATATATATATATATATGGAAGAGGAGGATGAGGCGATCTCTGAGGAAGAAGGTTTATTCATCTGACGTTTCGTGTTCATGCTCGAGCACATCTTCGGAGATAGGCTAAGTGAGAAATACAGGGTTTAAATAGGCCATCTGCACTCTCACCCGATGGGGTCGTCCCGTTAGCTTCTCGTTGGCCCCCCTCTCGCGCGTAGATGGTGCCTGACGGCCTCGTATGGCGCTGGTAAATCGAAACTGCGGTTGATAGAGTTGCTGTCTGATTTCCAGGCCTCGATTACTTCCCTTGCCAGTTTGCTTTCGGCTAAGCCGCGCACTTGGGCGCCGTCGAAGTCGAACTTGTGATAAATTTCGAGGCAGTGCATGGCGGCATGCGATCGTACGTCCTTTCGCCTTACGACCAAAGTGTGCTCATGCATGCGCGTTTTTAGTCGTTTGTCGGTCATGCCGCAGTAGTTGGCTAGACAGTGCAGACATTTGACGTGGTAAATGACGCCTGACGTGTCTGCAGGTCGTAGCCGATTCTTGGGCTGCATGGTTAAACGGCGGATGGTGGCCTCCGGTCGGTGTTCAAGACCCATGCCTAGCGGCCTTAGCATGCGCTCAGTGCCTTCGGTGACGTTATTCACGTAGGGCAAGAGAAGGAAGATTTCTGGTCGTTGTTCCTCTTCACCATCCGTCTTCGTGTGCATTCGGTGCAAGCATTTGTTCACTAAACTGCTTGGATATCCATTGGGAAGGAAGAAGCGCCATAAGGTTTTACGCTCCAGCAGCTTCTCGGCTTCTGTGCTGCAGTGTGTGTGGATGCGGCGAAAAAAGTTTTCGGACACAACTGCGCTTATGCGACAGGGGATGATTGCTGTTATAATGAAGAATTTTCTCCGTGTCTGTCACCTTTCGAAAGACACCAGTCTGGAGAGTTCCGTCTTCCTGCCTCGAAACCTGGACGTCGAGGAAAGAGAACACGCCGTCATTTTCTTCCTCCATGGTTAATTGGATTTGTAAAAAAACCGAGTCCAATGCACTTTTAAAGTTGTCTTTCGCGTCTCGATGTAAAATGACAAAGATGTCGTCTACGTAGCACATCCCGAATGTTGTCCTTTATTTCTGGAAGACCCGAGTTTCCGAATCCTGCAAGACCGCTTCAGCCAGGTAGCCGGAAATTGATACCGACAAAAACACAAGGAGACTGGAATGATGAAAATGTATCGCCATATAGCGTCCGCATTATAGACCACAGACTAGTCAGACAATCAATTGTTCATTGTGACGCATAAATTTTTGCAGAAAGATTCAGCCTATGCGAAGTTTACTATGTGTTAATCTACGTTGAATCCGTTCTGTTCGGGGTGTGTCACTTAATTCAGCAAGAAGTATATCCTGTCCTCTATTAAGGTTTTGTGTTATTCATGCTGGTCTGTCAACAGTATTTGTAGTGCTAATATTTGGTTTGTAAAACTTACACTGTTTCAGGTATGCACCTTTTCCATATCAGATGCAATGGTACTGAATGAAAATATACAATTAAAATCAATACCAATAGCCTGAGAATACTAACCAGCGATGATCGAATGATCATTCCGCACTGATGCCGCCATTGGCACTTCTCTGCGAAGTATGGACTTAATGAGGCCATAGACGCGGTTGTTCAGTTACTTTAATGTGAATGTTAGGTAGAATATCCATTTTATGTTATAAATGTCGCAAAAAACCTTAAGCAGCAGTATCACGGTAGACAGCCCCAACAGTGTCTATAGTCCAAGTTTTCACTTTCAATATGAGTGTTTGACCTCATTTGTAAGGAAAATATTTGTACTTTAACTTGACGATAACCGATCATTAGGTGGGCTAACTCATGAAATCTCAACCGGAATTTCAAAATGCATTTTCGTTTGGAAAAGATAAATTAATTAGTGTTGTAAAAGTCATCATCATGCAGCATACTTATAGAATAATTCAGTTGCATCTGGATGTTGAATTTCTAACGAACTCCTTTTCCGCTGCATGCAGAAAGTGCACTTTCTAAACAATGACTACTTATGTAGCATGCATTTTTCTCATAGATTTTCGATGCCCTTAATAAGGCAATTATAGTTCATAGAAAACATGCATAAAATATTCATCCATTTGCTCATTCGGTGGAAAGGTAGGTTTTCTGTCAAATTTATACTGGAAGAAGGGACATACTTCGGTTTTAAAAATATGCACAGTTTTGGACAAATGGTAATGGACCGAGGTACCACCAAATGACTTTTACAAGTATGAAAAAATAACTCACCGATGTAAGGTGCAAGGATATCAGGCGACCGGCAAAACAGGGCAGGTCCAAACGCAGGCGGACGAAACTGCAGACCCACCTTTGCCACCAGACGAGATACCGTGGAGTTATCTGCCTAACTATTATGTGGTATCAACGACACTCGTGTGAAAATGAGATTGAAAATCTAAGGAATGAAATAAGTAACGATCGTCAAGGCATACATCTTCCACGGAGACTTGCTTAAACGTCATGATGCACCAGATCTGATGAGCTCTACGACCGGAAAATAATCTATTTTTTATGACGACGGTAAAACGCACATTATACGGCTCTATAATGAGTTCTTGATTGCCACGGGATTAATACTCAACTCCAACAAATGCCGTCTACGTAAAAATTGATCGAATAACACCATTTTCACCAATAATGCTTTATTTTGCGTTCGAAATCGCCGAAATGCAATCAGATTAACAAAGAGGAAATATCCCAGCGAGTCCGTGAATATTCAGGGCAACAACTAGGGATGTGATCTGCGCGCGAAATACCACATCATCATGGAAGGAACCTCCTATAAGTTACAAGCACCTATACAAATGACTTTAGGACATCTGACTGAAAAAAATATATGCCGCCCGTTTGTTTTGGATCAGAAAAATGTAAGCTCTAGTTCAAAGCTACAAGATGACAAAAAGTGCTTTAAATATTTCAGCATCCTCATTTATGCTGGGATATCATTTCCTTTCTCCCTCCTCCATCTGGACATCTGTCGAATTTCGGATTGAGCGGCATCCAACACACGGCTCATTTCAGGATAGGATTATTACGGTTAGTCGGAAACAATACTTTGTATTGCACAGAACTTTAACTGTTTTGCAATTTAATCGATATTATTTGAGAACGTTTGATTAAAGCCCTTTGTTTTACAGAGGACAATGATTTTGGAAAAAATTTTTCCCTCATCAGTATCACCAATACCGCAAGCCTTACGGGTGACTTTCAAGGGCATGACCTATGGATACAGCCTCAGTATGTGAGGATTTGAAAAGAACAGGCTGATGGAAATATTAGTGATACATAACAACAATAAACTCGCGCAAAAGAAAAGAAGATTAAGAGATGATATTTTTAAATCTAAAGGTCACAACTTTCGAAGATCTAAGGCGCATATAGCGCGCCTCGTGATGTGTATGGAAACTTGCGGATTGGCCGGAGTTTCTTTCTTATAAACGCACACATAGTCCTTCGAAGTAAAATGCATATGTCGACAGTTGTTATGACCGTACTTATAATCTTCACTGACGGGTGTTCTATTTCTCTGCGTAGCATGTACGTCATTTCTGTAGATTTTACGCCCCTATTTCAATTATTTAACTTTAGTGTCCTTATTATGAAAAGTGTAGTCACGAAATAGGTGTGAAATCTATCCGCTTGATTGTTTATGCAGATCCGGTCGGCAGTTGTTTCGGATGTAATGAACAGAGTTTTCATGGCAAAATATGCAACCGCCTTTCGAAATTAGCATCACATCCTTCTATGTCATTACTACTCCGGCTTATTAAATGCTTTAAAATGGTTTACTATGTAATTTATTTGATAGAAACATGTTTACCTGTCCCAGGGTGGAATCCAAGCTACTCCTTGACCGGATCGCAAACGACCTGCTGCCAAATATTCTGGAAGCGCGTCTGATATCATTTTCAGACTACTTCGAGCACTATTTATTCACAGTGCACTTTCAAAGGAGTAGCTCTCAAATAAAGTGCTACTTCTTAAGGGATGTTCCGCCTGCAAGTTTCGTGCAGTACTCTTGTGAAGTAAAATATGCTAGAGTGAAGATAACGCTTTGGAAATTGGTCAGTTTCTTCTTCCCTATATCATGTCGCTTGTACTTTATTTAATTACTGTGAAGCAATCACGTTTTTATCCAATTATGAGTCCGTATTTTTGCTTATCCAAAGCAGACACTTATAATGTAGATTAACATGACCTCAAGCGAGCACTTAGTTAATCGGTGTTGGCATTGTGAGTAAAACGATAATAAAACGAAACGATTTGAAGAACTGCTAACAACCTTCCCAGTAGTGAGCTTCCATATAATCGGAATAGTTTTAATTGTTTTCAGATAATTTTCCGAGTCTCAGGAAGTCCCGTATATTCATGACGCTCATTTTCATGCATTTGCGATCCACTATGAAGACTAGAAAATAATTTTAATCTATTAGAGGTTTGCATATCTCTGGATAACACATCAGTCTTTCTTAAATAAAATTGTTCGGAATGCTCTCTGTCATGGCAGCTAAGTAGTATTATGTGTATTTAGAATGCATACATGATTTTGCATATTTCTTGTTTTCAGCCTTAATGCAGAGGTATATATACGGAGTTAATGATTATAATTAAGTCAGTCATTGAACTAATGGACATAGTTTATTTGAAAGCCACCACACACGAGCCGGGTGTAAATAAACTGTCAGATCTTATGGTGACGGAAACCCTGCGGAGGGAATACACCGAAATAGCAAACGCTAAATCCCCAAAATCGGCTAGGCCTGCCTTGGCATATTTGGAAATAGTCATAAGACAGACATTTTTGCACTACGATGGCATCGCTTGTAAAATTTAAATGCAGTTGATACGTATCTGATAAATACTAAACAGTGATTGAGCCGAAAGCGGAAAGAGTAATTTTGCACAATTGCATCCTTGGCTGAACAATGTTAATGGCTAATACGCAATTGAGATTTTCTCGACCTTAATTTCTTACATAAACAGTCCATCGAGGCACCTTACACCAAATTGGACAGATATTATAGCAGAATGTATGATTCTGTCTCTCAAACGCACACACGGTTTGTAACTCCATCGAACTAAAACAAATACGTGAATTCTCCTTAAATGAAATCCTCCAGAATGATGTCCGAGATACGAATATCCCAGAGACGAAATTTTCTCACTTCTATATCAACTATAAAACAATAAATCGAAAAGCAACGAAAAATTAACTGCCGTTCTATTGATAACAAGTTATTCTTACTGGTAATTTTCTGTTTATAGTCCTATTAGACTCCCCTAGTTAAAGAGAGCAAAAATCGACCCGGGTGCTCTGTCAGCGTTATGATGGCCAATGAGTATTTGCTATGCATTATTTTTATTCATATGTGGGATGCATACGTAATTTTGTGTTTTTTGTTCTCAGCCAAAATATAACGATATTTATACGGAGTTGACAATCACCAATACGTCACTCGCTGCAATAATGGACGTAACTTACTGGAAAGCCACCACTCAGAAGTCAGGTATGATCAAATTATCGGATCTTTTAGTAACCGAACAACTGCGGAGGGAATTTACGGAAATAGCAAAAGCTGGATCCCCAAAATGGGCTAGGCATGCACTGGACTATTTTGAACCAGTCATAAGACAGGCTTTTAT